GCGGGCCCCACCGCGGCGACTCCAGCCCCGGGCACGGACCGCGCCCCTGAGACCATGGCCGGGAGGGGACCCGGTACCTCGGGAGCCGGGGCTTCTCGGGGCTCGTTCTCCTCGCTGTCACTTGAGCTGCTCTCGCTCTCCGAGTCCGAGGAGCTGTCTGAGTCACTGGTGCTCTCTGACTCGGCGCTGCTGGAATGTGCTGAGGCCGCCGCTTCTGGAAGCGGCTGTGGAGCGCTGCAAAGCAACCGGGCGAGAGTCAGGAGGACCCTGCGCGGCGGATTCCCTCCCTCCTTCCTCATTTCCTTCTTTGCCCATTTTTCTGCTACTCGAAAGAAAGGACCTCAAGACTCCCTAACAAAACTCAATGACCAGAGCATCCAGTTGAGAGAAAGGCCCTCAGTGGCTGCAAAATCTGTGAAAACCCTTAAAATGACTCACCACATAAGTGCATAAAAGAGAAACCTGTGGCATTTTGCTCCCGAAGAACATCTGGGGTTATACGAAATGTAAGTGAGATGCTGGGTGCTTTAAATTAGGGGTTAGCAAACCATGGCCTGAGCTGGCTGCCTGCTTTTCTAAATAAAGTTTTATTAGAACACATCCACATGTTATTTTATGTATTCTCTACGGCTGCTTCTATAATACAAAAGCAGAGTCAAGGGGTTGCAACACAGATATGTGGCCCACAAAGCATAAAATATTTACTTTCTGACCCTTTTAAGTTTGCTGATGCCTGCAATACAAAACCCAAAGGAGTTAATTTATAAAAGAATAGCCAATATATTAAAATCTCCCTCTATTCTCAATGTGAGAACCACCTGTAGAGTAGCCAGAGACTACTGAATATAAACGGTGTTCCTCTGGAAAGTGTCCTCAAAGGCAATCCACTCACACTTCTTCTTGGGCAGAATCATAAAATGGGCCATCCTTTCAAGGTGGCTTAGCATCATCCCCAAACATCAGCTGAAGGAGAGATTAACTACTCCGAGTTTTAAGGACAGGGCAATAACTCTAGGTGGGTGAGAAAACACACAGTGATCACACTGCTGGACACATAGACACAGAATTTCAAAGCATATCGTAAAACCTTGCCCTACACAGAATTAGCCAAAGCAGTAAGTCAATAACTCTAATCCTGAAAGCCTCCAAATCAACCTAAAGTATTTCCAAAATAATTGTATTAATTATATTAGAATAAGTAGAATAACAAAAAATTATTAGATAATAACAAAATCACTAGCTGATGCAATTTTAAAATAAGCATTATACAACAGAATATTCTCATATAAAATGTTGCGTCAAATTTGTGGTAGCTGGAAAGCTTCAGCCAGAGATAATCAGAATGAGACACACTTTCAGTATTATTCCTGCCTCTAGTATATCCTCTACCTTGACTTTTCCTTTTCCCCCACTCCACTTTTAAGTTAGGTTACTTTGTCGTATTTTGTAAGTTGTTATAAGACACCAGAAATTACTGAACAAAATGGGATAGAAATAAGTAAGCAATGCTTATGAATTCTTAAGACTTTGCATAACTACATGATCTTCCTCCACATTAACTATAACCTCAGCTATATTAGAGGCAGGTTCTTAGTGCTGAGCTTGTCTCAGACTAGATCACCACGTCTCAAGGGAGTAAAACAGCTACAGTGTAATCGAACAATTTGTCCATGGAGGACAGTTATTGGCATATTAAAGCATTAAACTCAGTACCAGAGGAAATGGTAAAAAAGGTAGTTTAGATGGCTCGCATTTCCAAAAACTAAAAGCATCATCTTCTCAAATATGGCTAGCTGTTTACAAAGTGAAAACTATCCCACTTTCCATCACACTAAAATGCTGTCATTTTTAAAAGCAGCTGAAACAATTAGAAAATTCAGAACTAAGACAGGCACTATGGAAAATAATTTCTAGAAACAATTCACTTTTTTTTTTTTTTAGAAAAAATACAGCAAATCAGTCACTTTCATAAAAACATCGGGCTCTTCGGTGTAATTTTTCAAATACTGGTTACACAATACTAATGAAAGTGACTTAAGCCTATTTTTAACCTCTTGAGCATTTTAAACACAAAACTAAATAAAGATTTAGGTGGAGGCAGGGAGTTTCTCTTTTGTAGCATTAACAACCTCCCTAGGGCTGATTTAAGCTTCCAAAATATTAGACAGGTAATTTCTTTTAACTGATCCTCTATCTCCTTCTCCCATAATGAAGCTATGAAAGTGCTAAATAAGGCTGCATTTTCCCCATTTGGTAGAAAAAAAGCAAACATTTTATACAGATGGGGAGGAACCCACACACGGTACCTTGGAGGTGCAGATGTGGAAGGAGGCTTCTCTGGGGTCTAGGCATTCACATTAAGGGGAAGAAGGAAGAGGGAAAGAACAAAAAACAGGTTAGGATAAGTGGCTCAGAAATATTAGATGGACTTAAATGGACTCCTGGTACTGTGGGGTGTACAAAACTTACTTGATCGCTGTCACTGTCCTCACTGTCACTGAGCTGAAGGTCATCTTTGAGCATGCTGGAATGGGCAGGGAAAGAGACAGTGTGGAGTTTAAAATAATGTCTAGTAACTTCTTTCAGCAGATAAACAGAAAATATGCTTAACGAAACAGAAGGAGTGATGGGATAGGTGTAACTTTTATTTATTTATCAAATACTTTATTTTCCTGGAAACGTTGAGTTTTACAATTATAACACAGAAACTAGTTCAGTCCAAGCTCTTTACCATCTCAAAACTGAATCTTTCACATGTTCTGAGCATTAAAAACAGAACTACAAGTTTTACAAGGGGCTTGCTGCCATCCTTGAGACTGAAGTTTCCAGGCCCACACAAATAAAACAAAAAAGAAAAAGAAGTAAAATCGAAAAAATATAATACAAATTATTTTTCCTATGGTCTCTAACAACTGGAATAAATGATTAAACATTCACTGAGTTACTTCAAAAGTGCTATCTATGAATTAAAATAAAATATATAGTAAGATGTATGAGGCTTACCAAGGCAATTGTCACCAAACAGTGCAGTTACATTTTTGTTCAAAAGACATTATCAATATTGAGCTTATTCTCGCTCTCTCACACTCACACACACTCACACACACACGCCTCCTCTTTTGTCTGCCTGAACATGAATCAGTGGAAAGAGTAGTTATACAAATAACACTGTTGTCTAAAAATATGTTTTACCTTACTGCTATCATTCAGATAAAAATAAAAACTCAGTTCACTTCCTCAAAGTTTTATTAACACTTATCTCTAGGCACCCTGGTTTATGACAAACCTAAATATTAAAAGCACACAATTCCGAATTTGTAAATCTTTACTCAAGTCTTAGCCCACTTCCCTATCCCCTCCCTCCTTCACCTTCTTCCATGAAGATACCAGTATCAATGGAATGAATATGTAATTGCTCCCTCCCACTTCTCACAGAAGTTTTGAGCATGAATATTTCAGGAAGTGTTACAAATGAAACTGAAAAAAATATCTGCTTGACTATTATTGATGCTCCGAAAAGCAAACTGTATTAGAAGTTACAATCCTTTGGTATTTCTAAAAATACCCCTTCAATACTCTGACCAAAAATTTTACTGCAAACTCACTACCTATCACTGAAATAAGCGTGCATGATTATTTTGGGAATCCGTGGTAAAAAACCACTATATTTTCTAATGAAAATAAGTGATAAAACTTGGCTCTTTCATAATGACCACCTACATACGATGTTGTAATTCTGCCAAGGATGTATTTCCACCAACAAATGTACTAAAAAAAAATCTTGTGATGAGTTTCTTTAAAAATACGAAAACTGTTAGCTACTTGTAAATGTAGATCTTGCTCAGTATTTATCTAGTAGAAGCTAAATTCATATTTTAGCAAAACTAGAAGACATAGCTTTCAGATATAGGCTTGGCAGCACCAATCACAAGAGTGTATATGAAAAAAGTCACTCAACAGGTTTACTGCTAAAAGGTGGCTTGCCTGGTATACACACAAGCAAAAGATAAGATTTATCTTTAGAACAAATGTTAATATAATACAATAAAAAAAATCTGGCAGAGTATATTCAGTATTAACCAACAACAACAAAATCATAGGAAATGGACATTTTTGTTTCTTAGTTATTGGGTTTGTTTAGTATAAAGCTGATTTTTCTTAATTTCCCGAAACACTGATGACTGTATAGTCGCAACCAGGCCTCCTGTTACAAGCAGAGGACTAAATACCCTGCAAGCTGTCTGCCTAGCTTCCATGCACAGATTCTTCTAAAGTCAGAAAGAATATAATGTATGTTCAGTATATCAGAAAGTATACATTCTAACTTTTAGCTCTACTTGCTCTTACGGAATAAAAGGGGCCATTAAAGTGCTGTCCCAGATCCTGAAAACTTTGCTTTCGGAGCAGTAGGTAGACAATAACAAACACAGGCCTGCAGGAAGAGATCTTACTCAGGACCTAAAGAGTTGAGGGACAGTGGCCTCTGAAGGCAGATTGCTACAGGCATCTCCAAAGATGCATTCACTCAAAACAAACAAACAAAAGATAAACCAATAGGGTCAAACAAAACGTCACTTACATAGTACTAAGGATTTACACATGGGATTTCATTTAATCAAAATTCATGGATATAATTTATTTGACACAAGAACCGGCAGACATAGTGTAATGTGTCTTCCAACCCAGCCAATGGTACGCACAGAACCTCCCAGAAACCATGGTTTATTATATCACCAGAAATGGGTAGCTCGACATAAACCAGTAGTGAGGGAAGGGTACTTTCTAAAGTTTCTGATAGCAAACATGTATTGTGTCTCTAATAAGAAAAAAGTTTACTTAAAAAACATGACTAAGTTTTGATATATAGAAATATATAAAATTAATCATAAATACCATTGTGAGTTTTTTTTTTTAAGATCTATATAGTTGGGAAAATGTAACCTGATGACAGGTAAAGGTTTTATGTTTAAAGGAATCAGTTGCGAAAACCCTCTACTTGTGCCACAGATAATTATATTTGGAGCTAATCACATTACTAAATTACTACACCAGTTATACTATGCTGGTATAATGTAAGCTACTCTGTTATACTTCGTATTTTATATACTAGGTTGGTCCTTGAATGTGTAGAATGACAAAGTTAGTTACAGCACATCTGGGTGAGCACCTCCGTACTCAGCAGAAAAGAATTAAATCTCTTAGACCCAATCTCACACATACCAATAAAACCTAGGTCAAGAAAACTAAGACCGAAGGGACGTACTCAACCATAAGCTTTTCTGGGGCAGGATCAAGTCATTTTCACTTTCGTATTTTCTATACCTAGAACTTGGCAGGTACCCTAAGAAGCTGGCTGAATGAATAGTGTCCCTTTTGCTGAACAAGTAACAGTACCACCTAACTGTGCCCTCTGTGTGATCTGAATGAACTTGACATGCATTGCTTTTAGTAGCAACCCTGTGGGCTGGCTCTGATCATCTCACATTCTAAAGATGAGGAAACAGCTCAGAACAGCCACCTAATTTGCCTAAGCTCATGAAGCTGGTACATGCTGGACCTGGCATGCAAAATCCATTCCACCTGGATACGATCTCCTTGCTCTGGCCAATAACGGACAGTGGTTAGAAAACCTAACAGATGGAATGAAATCTAAGTTACAGAACCCACTGAGAGAAAGACTAGGATTTGGATGAAAATAGTTAACCATACCGCTGGAATAAAATGAATATACCATTTCTCCCCCATGAAAATTAATGAACTTTAAATCTTATATACTTTTAAAACTGGTCAAATAACTAATTTCATTTCCAAACTCCAGGGTAAACCAGTTATTTCAAAGACATGGCACCATCTGACTTAGCTTGGCACTGTTCAAAAGAAGACAAGTGCTCAGGTAAAGCCACTCTTTGAACTACCATGTAGGTTTAACCACATTTCACATCACTGGTTAGGTAAACTTCTTACTAAAAGGTTACAAACAGTCCTCAGCCTCCTTTGTACAAATGCATTCTTCAGGCAGCTGTTCTACAAAGCGGGGAGAGCCATACAGGTTCTGGCAGGCATGCTTCCGGGGCTCAGAGGCCAACCGTTACTGTGTGAAGACACACCAGACAAGCCTTCACTCCTTTTCTGTTCCTTAGCACTGGACTTGCCCAGAGCTTCTGTAACATCTCAGTTCAGAACCCCCAAACTGTTTCAATACACTGAGTTCTTGGCTTAACATTTCCTATGATCGTGCCGTACATTCTATTTGCAAAAGAGCAAGTGGAGGCAAGTTCAAGCAGTTATTTGCAATTAAAAAGTCACAACCCTGGTATAAGGTGTGCTTAAAATAGCAAATAAAGTGGTGCATATTTTTCAGAAACCACTAATGAGCATGTGAGAATATGTAAACTTACACAATTCTCACATTTCCCAAATGTTTAAATTAAATCAGGCTTTGATTTCTATTTTGATACGGGGCAAAAATCGGGACTGCAAATGCTTTGTAGGAGATGATGGGAAGTGACAAATTAGAAAGAGGGCTCGCTCCATATACAATAAATTTAAAAAATGAAAAAGCAGACCTTAAGCAGTTGTGACACAGCATACAAGGGGAACTCTCCAAATGGTGACAGTAGTTGGCAGAATTCAAATTCATGGAGAGGCTGTATGCAAGAGATGATGGATTAACAAGGTAGAGGGGAAAGTGATTCGGCTACAGTAGTGAGCTTATGGCTGATGGTAAAATTATGGTAAAATTGTGGCCAGAGGTATAAAAGATTATTTAAACTTTGTGGATGAAGAGAAGATTATCTGAGGTCAAAAATAAAAAAAAAAGATTATCTGAGGTCAAATAAGGATATAAGAAAAATCATGACAGTATAAATGAGAGAAAGTTTGAAGTTAATAAATAAGATTAAATTTTTATGTATGCTAAGTAAGATACTAGTACAAGATGCCATACTGGACAACTAGAAACAAAATCTAGAAAAACTGTGGCTGACAATCATATACCTATTTAACATTGCTTATAGACAGGTAAGTGACTGCACAGCCGGCAGCCTATTAAGCCCCTTTAAAGGTAGCAAGTATTCTCTGCCTCCCTCTCATCATTCAGGCTCCAGATCAAATATCGCCTTCTGTGAAAGACCTTTCCTGACCCTCCCAGAAGTATCAGCAGCACCCAAAAAAGCTGCTTCCCCTAGCCTGTCACTATCACATCACCTAGACTATATTACATGCCACCCGCATTTAGTTACCAGACATGCAAGACAAGAGCTTTGTCTTACTGGCTACAATTTCCCCAAATACCTAAACCAGCAGCAGGCACACAGCATGTGTTCAATCATTATGCACTGAATGGATGAATGGAGGCCATTTCTGAAACTATCTCCAAGTCACGTGGCGCCAAGCCCAGGGAATAATATTTATATAATTGGGGTCAAAAGCATGTTAAAGAATGACGAGAATGATTCTTCTTATGTAGAATATAAACTCATTTACATTATACTTATCTATTAGACAACAGGCACTTGATAAATTTATTCTTTTTGTCCATTTTATTTGACCTTTGGTCTAAGACCAAGTTTTGGAAGTATATATTATGCTAAAAGGGTGCTCCCAGAGTAGTTCAAGCCATCATTTAAGAAAGTATAGCTCCAGGGGAAATACTTTGAAGGAGATAATCCTCCAGCATCTTATCTGTATTTTTATAATTCTTTAAAATTATAACATATAATTAAATTGATATATATATTTATTTATAATTAAACATTTGATTATAATTGAGAATTATGCTTCATTTCATAGCCTCACCAGAATATCCCTTCAATATTTATGCAAGTTTCTACCATTAATTTGTATACAATGTGAAGTTAAATAGTGCCCTGCAAGAAGTCCTGGAATACTGTCTAGTAAAGCCAGAACTCCAAGAACTGACTACAGCAAATGACTGTAATTCTGCCATGAGATAGTTACAGGACAGCGCAGATGGGGAGAGGAGGTGATTCTGCGTTTGGAAATTTCAGTATTTTCTAAATATTGATTTAATGTGTCCTAGCAACTATAATTCTGAAATAAGCAGATTTTTCAAACATTGCACGGAATGACCATTTGTTTGCTTTCACTTAAGAATGGAAATTATTCAATACTCAATATTACAAATTCTCATTTCTCCATAGCATGGCTAATATTAACTCACTTAAAAACTCAATCACTTGTTAAGTTGGGAGTGAAAAGTAAAGTGCATCTTTCTCCAGCAATACCAGGTATTTGAGTACTGAGAACTAGCATTAACCACAGGATCTCCATTTACACTATGAGATGCTGAAAGTTTAACTCACAAACATATCACTGACCAGTCCAGTGTTTGTTCCTTGTTTTCAGAAGAGCTGAAGAACTGTGCATACAGGACAGTGGTATGATCTCAAGGACAAATAATTTATAAGTTTTGCTCACAGGGGTGACTTCTACCACTTCCTCCATAATGTTCAGCAGCAAGTAGCACTTGAAGCTAAAGCTGTCATTGGAATAAGGCCCCAGGTGAAGCACCTTCACACAGCATAAGCTAGCATTTAAAAACAAAACAAAAAGAAGTATCTAGAAAAGGAAAAACATTTTTTTCCTAAGGCAGTTATGATTTAAACGAACTGGTACAAGTAAGCCGTTTCTTTGGGCTGAATTCTAAGATATTTCAGCTGACACATGTGTCCTGATGTGATGGTTTTATATTACAGTAAACTGACAGGATGGGTCTTCCTTAGTTCTTTGCTAAGATATTTAAAAACCAGTGAAGTTTTGAGTAAAAGCCAAAACTCAGGCTTATGTGGAAAGGTGTCAGATTCTTTCCAGCCGTCATTGAACTCTGCACCATTCCTTCTCGTACAACTTTCAGGACAACCTCAACCCCAGTCTTCACATCCAAAAACTTCCCTCATTTCAAAAGAAATTTTCCAAGGAAGTAATAAAAATCCCAAATTGCTATAATTGCTAATTTCTACCTCTTAGTTGAAATAGGTACTGATGATTTTTGAAGCAAAAATAAGACAAATAAAGGAGGGCACCCTCTAGTAAGGCTTGGCAACTTCAGGGTAGGTAGTGGGGTGGGAAAGACGGAAGTCAGCCACAATAATGTCCATCAATTACTCTATAGTTTGTAAAACAGTAACACGTGATCCCTTTGGACAGGCTGGCAAATCACTGACACTAGGCAACTGCATCTGACTGTACAGAAAGGGAACTCTCCACAATTATACGAAGGACATTACAACTGTACAGAAAAAGGAAATTATTTCGTACTCTGCGCTGAGAACTCAACAGATCAAAGCCTTGGAAAGGAGAAAGATTCCAGAGCCAGGAGCCCTGAAACCAACATCCCCTCCCCTAAACTGAGAAGCAAATAACACTGACATCCTAGCTAATCACCTCCCTGAGGTGCTTGGCCAGAAGGAGGTCATCATTTAAGAACTAATCAGAGCTTCAACTACAGAGATCAAAAGTAACGGATTCAGCACCTGTTTCTTTCACACCTACATCCTTCTACCACCTGGCTAACACCTACCCGCCCCCAGGTCTGGACAGATGTAAGAGTTCATACAGACTCTCCACAAGCTTATCCTCCAGTGCCAGGCCCCTCGTTTTCCCTTTCATAAGTACTCCTCCACTTCTGTCAGGAGTCCCGAGTACTAGTAACTCTGAAAGAAAAAGCATTAAGACCTAGATTGGTTTTTAAAACCAAAGTACAAATGACCCTGTAATTAACTTTTTTTCCGTGACATTCAAAGTGCATTAGACTATCTTCCTGCCACTCCATGTGTCACTGAAATAGTTTAACTGCATGTCAAAGAGCCCTGATGCTGACACTAGATCAAATCAACCTGCAAACACCAAGAGATTTGCCATGCCAACTCTGAAACAATGATTGCACTTTAAAAATTAATTGGGACACTGCTTTCATCCAATCTCCATACAAGTGATTCTTTTTTTCCCAAAGGCACATTTCATTTTGGCATTTAGCAAAGTGCCACCCCACACAGCCCTCGGTATCCACCCCGCCTCAGGATTACTTTCTCTCCTGCATCACTCTTTCCCTCTTCACCTGCACTGGGCCCTATGTTCATCCCAGCTCTAAATCTATTGGGATCAAAACAAATATTCTTTTCTAGGTAATTTTATACATGGTAAGGTAATAGTTTTTTATAAAGAAAGCACTACATATGCTACTGATATAGCATATCTGTCATAAATTTTCAGACACCTCTGATTTTCAGTTTAACTCACATATCAGAACTACCCATTTCTTTGAGTAGCAAAATCATCATAGAAAGTGGTCAGTCCCTACCAACTACCTAAGTCTGAAAGCTGATGGAAACTGGTGTGGGAGGGTGTGCTCTGGACTGCTTAGTCTGAAGCGACTTCTCAGGCCTGGGCCAGACCCAGTGGCCCTGCTCCCTCTATACACCGGCCCAGGGAGCCAGCAGCCTCCACCCGCTCCGCCCCTCAGGAAGCCCCTCCTTTCTGTTCTTACTGTGAGTGGGATGCAAGCTCTTCAACTCCCCTGCCCTTGCTGCCCCAAACACATCAGCAGAGCTTCTTACAGTCTAAAGAGCTTTACTTCCAACCATTACCAGGAGCACAGGGTGTGACGGTTTGGGGAAGCAACGGAGCTCCCCAGGATTGCCCTGAGCGTGGTCCTTGGAGTCGCGGTGTCCGTTCCCCACCAGCCATCAACTGGCTTCCCCAACCACCTCCTCCTCTAAACGTCATCTAAGGAGATGACTCTAGACTCTCAGAACTCAGGATAAACTTTTTTTTTAAGAAACAAAAAGGGAAAAAAGAAAAGGCAAAAAAGACAAAGGGGAAGACTGACATAGGGCTAATTTCTTTCCCTAGCAAGCAAAACTTCACCATCAGCCAGACCTACAAATGGAAGAGATTTTTATTACACGCACAAAAATTCATCCTTCAAACTATAACAAGTTTGTCTTTCAACAATAAATCTCATTATTTTTTTTCTTACTTTGGGGAAGTGGAAACAATCGGATGAAGGACCTGACCTTGGGAACAGAGATCTAACCCAGCCCCATATGCAGTCACAGTGAGGAGACAAAAGAACCTCTTGGCCTCAACTATACGCTTTGTAAAATATTCAACCCACAGCAACACCTCCTTCCAAAATACATGGACAAATCCTAGGCTTAGAAAACAGAAGGCGGAGACTAGCAACGCCGTGTTAGTACGCACTCAGATTGCGAGAGAGGAAGCCCTCCACAACACTGCTGGTCATGAAGTGAAAGGAATATGAGTTCAACACCAGCAAGAAATGACAGACTGGGTCAAAAAGCTGGTTTAAAAATCTTTCCTATGTAGTTTCAACTGTTCCAAAAACCCCAAAATATATCTGGACTTACTTGGCCTTAATAAAGAACAGCTGGGCAATAAGACATTATTTATTAGTTAAAACTAGGCCAAAAAAGTGGCAGAAAATCTTAAATTGTGCACATCCCCCCAAATTTGTTTCCAAAAGCTAAAGCTATTTAAGATTGAAATTCATAAAGCTAAAAGCCTTCTATTTCCCACGGTTAATATGTAGATAATGGCTCAAAGGCCTTTCCTTTTGAGAAAACCCTTTAGCAAACTCTTACGGTGCCTAAAGCTTCAATAGGATCCAAATGGAAATGTAGGTCATTTCTTCCCCTTACAATGCAGCAGTATTTTATGAGTCATTACTTGAAAGCAAAGGAGGGGAAAATAAAAACCTATGCAAGAGTTTCATGGGAAATTACAATGTAAACTTTTAATAAACATAAGCATTTTACTTACGATGTTCCCTGCTGAGAATTACTGTGGGTTTTTGAAGATGTATCATACTGTTCTGTAAGGGAGGGAAAAATGATCAAACACAAAGACAAATTCCCGAGACTATTAGTTATAAATTCTTTTTTTTTTGCTGTCCCCTCCTTCACCTTTTTCACCTAAACTCTTAGAATATTTGAATTCCATCAACCAGGGTGCTATACACTGCTTATAAAATAACATTTATGTTACCGCTAGAGAAGGGGCTTGCTCAGAATTAGAAAATCCCTTAACAAGGAGAACACACTCTGAGACATGCCATCCAGGCTGCTGGAGACTCTCCCATGCGTGGGAACCTTTCTTTGGTGTCGGGGGGTGTCCCCCCATGGAAGCAATATGACGGGGCGGCCCTCACCCCCCACCCGGTGTGACTTCACGTATCTATCAGTGACAGCCTAGCACTGCCATTTATAGCTTCCGTCCTTGGCCCACTGTGCTCCCCCTGCCCCCCCATACATTCATTCAACTGCTATTTACAAACTGCCTGTTAGACACCAAGATGTTCAGGGCATTTGACCTTGTCCTCAAGGAGCTTGCAGTTGACCAAGGGACACCAAGCAGGTGCACAAATACCTACAACCACAGGCAGTGTGAGGTAAGTGCACAAAAAAATGGACTGTCCCGGGAATCCAGAAAATAGTCACTCTGCTGGTAACGGCAAAAGGAACAAAATCAGCTGTGTCACAAAGGATGTGTGAGATGCGGAGAGAATGACTGCCGGCAAGAGGGAGATGGGGGTAAGGAAGGCCTTTGGACGGAAGAGACAATGTGAGTGAAGGTAGGAAAGCGGGGACAGGACAGAGGGGTAGAGCCGGGGTGCAGAGTAGGGGGGCAGCATGGGAGGACCGGCCCAAGTCAGAATTTAGACGGCTCTGAATGCCGCAGTGGGAAGTTAAAACTTCTGTCGCTGGGCAATGAGACACCACCACGGCAATTCCTCAGAGACATCAGCCTGGTGGTGCTACCCGACAGAACATGGAAAGGAACAGGAAAGGTTCAGCGTGGAGGCAGCAGAGCAGCTGGGAGGATGCGTAACGGGGACCTGAAGCAGAACTCGAAGTGAATGGAAACATGGTGCCTTGCAGCAGGGGTGAGGAGATGCCCCATCAGCGTGAGGTGGAGACACTTGAACATGTGCAATTAACCGCTTCATCCTCATGGTGGCAGCAGCTCTTATAGGATATTTTTTAACAGCCTCCCCTTCTGGCTAGCAAGCTGGGGCTGGGATTCCCAATTAGAGGGGCTAAATCCACTCAGACAGACTCCACACAGTCATCTCGGCACAGTCCATGCTCCACAAAGCTTTGGTAATCCTCAGGCAGCCAAGTTTTTTTTGCACACATGGACATTAATACTGGGGCATTCCAGTAAAATCCCTATACTTCATCCTCTACCGACTCCAAAACCATAAGGTAATTTTTCAAGAAATCTGAATTCTCCTGCTGAGCTTACTTTGAGAAATAGATGTCACACTCTACTTCTCTGAAAGCTCTATCTGCACCTACTCCACTCCCTCTTCATCCAACATACGAGACCCCTCTAGTGCCCAACTCTACCCCCTAAAGGTCACACCCTCAGAGGTAAACAAGGTTTTCCAGAACACCAACAGACAAAGTGGTAGCAGCACAAAAAAACCCCAACGTAAGCATTTGCTGAGCCAAGACCTACAGGAGACCTGCCAGTGTCTGAAGACTTCTCATCAGGACAACGAGGAACCAGTCCACACTCCTGCACTGGCCCAGAGGGCCACCAGCCTGGGCCAAAAAAGTGCTTACCAGTTCATCCTCAACTATATTTTGCAAAAAAGGAGAAACCAGACAGCTTAAAGGATTATAGGGTCTTTCTAAACCAGGAGTTAGCAATCATGCAAGATGTGAGTAGCCCAGTGGAAGGCATATAATCTGCATGACTGGCAGCCCTAGGACATTGGGGGGGCAGGGGAGCAAGAGGTCAAAGGTACACAGCAGTGCAGCCCACAGCTGAGCTGGGGACCCACCTGCTCACTTGTGCTGCCAAGATGTTGGGGGGGGGGGGAAGACTGCCAATACTGTGGCAAGATGGTCACATTCATTTCTCTGCATCTGGAAGGCATTTAGTTAGCAGTTCTTTGCAAGGTCTTATTCATTATCTCTAGAGCAGGGGATGGCAAACTTTTTCTGTAAAGGTCAGGTAGGAAATATTTTAGACTTGGCATGCTATACCCTGTAGCATTAGTAATAAATGAGTGGGAATGCCTGCAACCTAATTAAACCTTCTTTACAAAAACTAGCTGTACAACAGATTTGACTCTCAGGCTATGGTGTGCCTGCCCCTACCCTAGAGGAAGGACATTCGTTTTTCGCTTTTCTCATCTTTTCAACTCTCCTCATATCCTTGCAATTTATAAACAACAGGATAATCGAGGGGAAAATACAACTGAGGGAAAAGAATGCGATGGGGAGATCTGAAGAAGAGCCACCTCTGTGGGGCGTCCATGAGCAACCTTCTCTGGACCCACATACATGCTCCACACACCCTACTGTGGTCTCTCCGTCCTCTGAAGATGAACACTCCGTAAATCAGGCACTCACCAGATGACTAAGGAACTAAATGATTTCAGATACACTAGTCATTTTTGTAAGGCTTCAAATCCCTCACATGTATTTAGGACACAAAGAACTGACTGAACCGAGGAGTTATTGATGAAGAGAAAGGCTGGATCTAGTTAGCTTTTTCCTGTTTCCCCCTGAATTCTCAAATATTTCCAATCCATAAAAAAAAAAAGCCAGAAAAGAATTACATGGCAAATACATAGAGAAGGACTTAAGAAGCTATGTGCTCTCTTCCTTATAAAAATTCCGTACTTTGTTTTAAAAAAAAAACAAAACAAAACACAAGAACCACATAAAATACCCCAACCCATTCTTATATACAATTCCAGGGTAACGGTGCTTTCACAGTCGCTCTTCAGATATTCATCATAAGTCAGGCAACCCCAAATTATATGTTTGGTACTTTATAAGACATCTTCATTAACACTGCAATAATCCGAAATTCTACTTCAAGACCAGCTTTATGTTTGCCTCCCTTCCTATGTTTTAAGCACAGGAGGCCCTATCTCTGGGGGGCATCTTTCTTTAATTTTTTTTATATTTAAACAGTCAACATCATGCTTTGTTCTCCAGCGCAATCATCTGTTCCACATATTTACTTACTTTGGTTTTGGGTTGCAGAATTGATATGCTGAGAATCCTAGAAAGAAAAGTAAAAATCTCTAGTTATTAGAATATTAAGGTTTATAAATCTAAGACTGCATCACTGCTAAATCTTATAAACACTGATAAATCTAATTTTTACATAAAATAGGTTTTATTGCTTCTATTCTTTCCTAGAGTTTATTTTTCCTTTGATGTCAAGCAAGGATTTTTTTTTAAGCACAAGGTATAATGTTTTACCTTAAAATCAAATAATGAATTACCTTTAAAAAAAAAAAAACTATTACTAGAAGAGATAGAAAGCATCCAACATGGCAAATTTGGGTTTGGGTAGATATATCCTCAGTGACATCATGGAAAGGAACAGCAAACATGTATTAACAGTGTGCATATATACCAGGCTGGACTGAACACAGATCTAAAGGTGATATTTCTGTATTCTGAAGATTATGCACAAGTACAGAACAACAGCAACAAAAAAGGCAGTGTTTTTAATATAACATTTACAATCAACAGAAACATGCAAGTTAGCAACTGATTAGCTTGTTATTAAAACCAACACTAATGCAACAGATCACATTAAACTTTAAGAAAAGGTAGGAGGTATGATAAGTGTAAGATGTATGTATGCATCTAAATTCTGAAGCAGGAAGCAGACACCCTACCTCACTTAACTTCCTTGTACCTCTGACTCCACCTCCCTCGCAACTAAGCCAAGACGCTCAAAAATGACAGAATTTATTGTAAAGTCTTGAATGCCTTCCTAAGCCACAAAACCCTGTACAAGTGTAAGATGTACTTACTGACATGACTTGGCGAGTAAAGCATGTGCAAGCATTAGGAAGCACTTTAGAAGCTAAAAGTAACTTGCAAATTTAACCTAATTTCCAAAGATTTCAACAAGTAATACTTAATCTGGCACACAGCAATATTTCAGACTTTTCACTGGTGTGGATGCAGGGCTTGCTGTACTTTTAAGCAGTTACCTTTGTGGGAAAAGGAAATTTGGAGGGCTCAGCTGTACTAGGCGTGTGTATTGCTGTCAGAGGAGGAGGCCATGAATGGGTCATTTCCTGGAAAGAGATTTGGAAAGGCAAGATAAAGAAAATTATAAATAGAACATTTACTGCTACTTCAGTTAACTTCTTTAACTTAATGTAGAGTGGACTGATGGTAAATGAAGAGTAAAATCTCAAAAGTTATTTCATTTACTTAAAAAAACAAAAAACAGAAAATACCTCCTACTTGGTGGGCTATATTTGTTCAAAAGCTGAAGATCTCCAACAGACAAAACTGAAAAGAAATCAGTTTGCAGAAGGAGAGCACAGAACAGGAACAGCCTCAGAACCCTGCGGAGCCTGAAGCGTGAAACGGCAGCAGGTAGCACCAGAGCTTATGTAACTATGAAAACGCAGTCCCGTCTCAATGTGCTCTTTCTCCCTCAGCTCCTTTATTGCACTTCCTGGAATTATTTAAGTTCAAAGGAAGAAGAACTTTCCTGTTTGACTTAAGCAAACAAGTAATTCAGGTCACTTGTTCCACTTGGGAGAGTTTTAATGGATTTGACCCTTCCCTGGTACACGTTACTAGTACATAAGAACTTCTGTGGAGAACGCTTTACAACGTGACCGTCCCTTTTCATTAACAGAAGTTTCATTTTTATTCACTGTTTTCATAGAGGCAAAACTTCTGTGTCTTACAAAGTAACACACCTATCTGGACATGAATTCTTTTCTAAGCACATTCGCTTGCTAAGAACAAGTGGAAAACAAAATGTCAGATTAAAGGTGCCTGATCACAAACGTGCCACACACACACTTTGCTGAAGAGCTACAATGACACCAGAGGTCGTTAACACCAGCCCCTTCACTTTACAGCTGAGAAAACCGAGGTCCAAAAGGACAGGATCAGATCTCCCAGGAAGCTGCCGGCTGGCAGCACAGGGAACGCACAACCCCCCCCACCCCGCCTTCTGAGTCCAAGAAAAAGCAGCCCATCCCCACGTGTGTTCAGACCTGCCTGGCAAACTGGTGTCAAGGTCGACAGGCAACCTCCACCAGCAAGCTGGGGAGCCGGGATCCTGCTGTACCACCTGTACAGAGCACTGGGCCTTCTCCCACAGCGGTGACCAGCCTCCCCACGACCACAGAAATGCCATCCGATCCTTGCCACAACTGGAAATTGTTGCAGCGGCAAGCATCTCCACTCCCAGCCTCCGTGCATATCTTCCCACGGCCGTCCCTGCCAGAGCCCCAGGACATAAAGGACCAGGCACAGTGACAAGCAAAGTAACCTGCACTGGCTTTTCTGAGTAATTCTTGCTCAAGGTGGTATCATGCCCTTGCTCACTTGACTAACCACCTTCTGCTCAGTACAAGAGAGAAATTCTGTACCAAACGGCAACGGAAAGGGTAGCAGTTCTGGAGCCAGAGTCCCGGACTGGACCCGAACTCCGACCCTGTTGGTCCGCTCAGCTTGAGGTGCTGGGGCTCCGTGAGCCCCAGCTCTCAGGAAGACCTGGACAAAGACCACTTATTTTTCAAAGCGTATGTAAAGTGCCTGAATACGTGGTCAGAGAAAGCACTTAATCAGTTAAAAGCATTACAATTTTTAATTAAAAGTCTGGTTTTTAAAGAATTTTAAAATACCGCACCGCAGAAGAGTTCCCTGTTACTTTATTTATTTGGCTCTCCCCTAACATATGGTACCATTAGAATGTTACAGTGTAAAAACACGTAATAATTAATTGAGAAGGTGTTTGAAAGTATCACCTTTCTGTCTTCCAAGAATGTCTTTAGGATCCCAATGGTATCAGTATCTATGACTTTCAGTCACCACGGATTCCCAGGAAACATCCATTGTACTCGCAATGCCTGAGGCTGCCCCAGCTATTAAATTAGGCAGTTGGAAAGTGCATAAACTCTTTCAGGCCCTAAGTGGTTTGCTGGTAGTGTGAAAGAATTTATATACTTCCCTAAATGCCCCCCTTATAGGGGAAGTGAGGCCTTATGAGAATTGGGGCCATAAGGAGAGAATGGCCAAGTCCTGAATTCACTCCTACCTGAAAAACGACTTACCACACCAATGAGGGCAAATCACATGGCACCTGCTTCAGACCTGGCCTTCCAGGTGCCACCGCTGCTCTCTCCTCCCCACTCTCCCCCCTGCTCACCTGGCTCTAGACACGCTGTCTAGTTCTCGCTGTTCCTCTAACACACCAGCCTGTTCCCACCTCGAGGCCTTTGCACTCACTCTTTCCTCTGCCTGTTCCTCCACTCACCTGCCTGCTGTATGACTCATAGCCCTTATCAACGTCTGACACTTTATTATATATTTATCTTTCCCACTATGATCTCCAAGAGAGCAAGGACTCTGTCTTATTCATATGGCATCCCTAGTGTTCAGTGAAGTATTTGAGTCTTCATGGATATTTGCTGAGTAAATGAATGAACAAAAATGGTGCTGCCACTCACTGCACCAGTTTCACTGGCATGCTGCACTGAAATAATCAATGTCTACAAGTCCTGCGTTAACTTCCCCTAAAGGCTGTCGAGGCTGTGCCACTGCAAGCAGAAAAGCTGAGCTGTTTCCACACGCCCGCCAAGGGCACAGTGCCCTACCCAGACCCTTGTGCACAACCAACTCCTGGCTTCTGGCAGTGTCTGTCTGCTGTCTTCTTTCCCCGCCAGTCTGCAGGAGTCACAGGCCATCACTGCCCCTTATCACAACACTTCCTCTCTTAGTGTTTCCACCAGAGAACCGAACAATCTCTGCCATGACTGATTTTCTGTCAGGGAGCTATTTACAGCTTCTCTTGCCCATCAGAAAGATGCATGTCAGGATCCTGGCAATCCTCATAAATTACTGATCGGAGCTATGAACAGGGACCACAAGGCAGAGGCAAGTATCTGGATCGGCATCTCAGAGTGAGAGCTGGGTCCAACCCTAGAGATCACCCACTGTTTACCAGCCCGGGGGCTTCAATCTACCAATGAGGAAACTGAGGGCCGGGGATGACACGTGACTTAACTGGGGCCCCCAACAGAGGAGGAGAGGAGGGGACAGACTCCAAGTCTCCACGAGGCAGAGGCCCATGCCCCTCTTCCGTCCAGGACACCCTTCTAGTCGCTTTCTCCATCTATGATTTCCAAATGAAAACACTCACCTGTGGCTTGCGTTAAACATCCACTTTCAAGCATTTCCAGGGAAGTAAGAACTCATTAAAGTGATGTTGGCTGAGAGGGGAGGACAGATGAGTTCACTGAATTAAAAACGCCTGCCTGACACTCTAATGCCATCACCTTACATAAAGGACTCAACAAGTTGTATGTCAACACACGTCAAAACCAGACACACCCAGGAGACAACTAATCTATACTGCTGTATTTACTTATGAAATAACCATTGAACAAATCACATATAATTTCACAGAAAAGGCTAAGACCATATTTTATAACTAAGTCATCTATTACTTTTATGACTCATCTTACCAAAGAATTTCAGAAATACCAGAGTGAGAGGATAAAATAAAAGCTTGATCAAGACAACTTATTATTAATCTTACTTGATGGCTGGCAAAAATTTCTCATTTTCTGCCGTACAAAGTATGTTTCCTTAGAACTATTTCTCAGAAAATTCTAACTACAAAAGTAAGGGATCAAACACTGTAAAACAAAAATGATGAAACTGTTTTCCAAATATCTGGTTAGACAGCACTTTTGTCAAGAATTTCACACATGAGAAGGTAACCAATATACTTAATTAGTGGTTTTAGCATCCCCTCACTTAATACTTTGCAATGAAATATTAAAGAAAAAAATTAGATAAGCACGTATTTTGAGGGGAAAAGTATGAAATAGATAAAAATTAATAGGTATATATGTCATCTCTCTCCTACTTCCAAAAAAAAAAATCAAGCTTTATAGTAAAAGATGAAGAGTATCAGTAAAACAGACATGAAAAAAATGAAAAGCCACAGAAGAGGAATGAGAAATAAACAAACAAAACCCTCAGTTATTACAATTACTGTATTTGAGTATTAAATTTAGCTCTAGATTTCCTGGAAATTAAAGCCAAAATGAGAAACAACAGTTTATATAATTCTCTGATAAAAAGAAAGCATGCTGATTCATGAGGAGAATTTATTTATTTTTTTCCTGGAACTGAATTCTAGAAGGAATTTGTCATCCTTATGTAAGAAAAACTGAACAAATGGATAATGGATTCAATGATGTACTTGTAGAAGCAGCACAAATGTTCCTGGCATGATCTCAATAATCAAAACTAAAAAATAACCCTTTCAAGGTAGGTCTAAAGATGTCCATTGACTTTCTACTATTTTTTTTCTCATCCATTTAAAAATGCATGGTCTCACTGAAGATGAGGCCGCACATAGGAGATGTCACCTATAAAACACCAAGAGGCGTAGATCAAACACTACTTAACCCCTGGTGCCTCCCGTATGGCAGCAGCACAGGGAGTTTCCACTCGGAGAAAGGAGTGAGCAGCTCTCCTGGGTCTTTACAGACAACCGGAGAAGCATGAAAGACATGTCTTAAAGCTCTGTTCCAAATGCCTTGCAGTTTGTAGACTTCATGTCAATTAATAAAATCTGTCAGAAAGTGCAATAACGTTCTAAGACTCCTTTTGTTATTATTCTGGCTTATTTTGCTTTGGGAGTTACTGTTTAAAGGGGTCTGGAATGACAACTGTTCATTAAAGTCAAAGAAAATGAATGTATGTCTGCCTACTTAAACATTTCAAGTGAGAAATGGTAACAATACGCTCACCTTCAGAATCTCTTCAACACAGTGGACTTCACTGGAGTAGGTCTGCTGAAAGTGAAAAGCAGGAAAAAGATCAGCACACGAACCAAAAAGCAACTACAGAGTTGGTCTTAGTAGACAGATGCTGGTATTAATTAATACAGCAACATTCTTGTAAGTAGAATCACCTCAGGGCCCACCTTTTACCAGCTATGTATTAGGAACCCCACATTCTGGATGAAAGAAAACCAAAGAGATTAACCTGACTTAAATGGGGAGGAAAGGGTTCCACTGGAGACAACGGCAGACTAATTTTGACCCTCAGGTCAGCAGTTTCTGATGGAAAACGTATATATTAAATGAAATTAGTGCATTAGTAAATCTATGGGAATAACAGATACTACAAAAATAGAGGCAGAAAGAGGAAATCGGTGGCACAATTTGCTGCTTCATAACAACATATGTCCAGTGAGCCAAGCGAAATGAACACAAAGACGGTGATGAACTGAACTTCTTGAGGCCACAGTAAGGAGACCAACATCCAATCAAGGTTAGATTTTTTGGTAATATTCTAACCCACCAAAAATTCATTTTAAAGTTGGCCATCTCCAGTTCTCATTCAAGGCCAGCACTTTCATCTTTCATAGAGGCACACACACATACATGTGTGCACACTGACACACAAGTGTGCACACTCACACACAAAGCATGTCCCCAGAGAAAGCCCCTAGGGAGAGAGGAGATTACCTAACACCTTGGAGGAAAGATGCACAGTTTATACTTCTTGCTTAGCCCCAGCTAAACACATGACAGCTGCCACTGGTAGTATCATAACCAGTGTTCAAGAAAGTCATCTTACAGTCTTTATTTTTAAACAGAAAAGTTAAATATTTTAAAAAATTTTCACTTTTCCTTAACCAGAGATACGAAACAAATCCCATGACTTCTTGGTTATCAGTGGAAAAGCAACCGTTGCTCTATGTCAATTCATGAGCCAAGCGTCCCGGCCAAGTCCTATACAACACACACCCCTCCCACCACTGGCCTGCTGTGAAGCAAGCACTGCTCTCCCCGGTCAGTCCATCCAGTGCCCGCCTCACAGCCAGCGTGTGCAGATGGGAAAGGATTCTTCTCCCAGCTCCCATTTCTAATTTGAGTTAATTTAATACTGTGCTGGTTGCTAATCTAGGTTTTATTAATCCAACATTCCCTTCATTCTAGTTCCTCTAAGGAAAAAGGAGAAGAAAGGAAAAGAGCATACAACATTCACACTGTCCTGGAATCGAATCTAATGGACATTTCAAAATTCAAATGCAATTTGACTTGCCTGGGTCTGGATTTTAAACATGTAAATTTCATAAAGATGGTTTTATTGAAATGCTTGCAGTTTGTTATTTTTGAGGTAGAGTCTGGAAGTTAGGAGGTATAACCAAACAATCAAGGGTATCCCTTTAATTTGCCAGCCCTATCAGACCCATCTTTGGGCATTATGCAAGTCAACAACTAGATCTGCTTACCAGATTTCTGTTTTTCAAGATGATTTAAGGAATGGCTAAAAACTTGACCAAATATTAGAAACCAAACATTTTAGCACAAATTTCAGAAACAGAAATTAATGCTATTTTGACCTGAGAGTAAAATGTAATTATACCTCATGGTTTCAATTTTTTCACATGCGTCATCAGGAAAAATAATAATCAGGAGTTGAAAGTGAATCAACAGAACAGCATATGACTATGACTCTGGTCAAATAGTCTCCTCATCCTATCTGCTGCCGGAATGAGAATGGGAATCCAATTAAAATATTTGCAGTCAAGGAAATCGTGAAGCACAGTTGAAATGAGAGCAAAAAAGACTTGTCCACTGCTTCCAACAGAATGATGTCAGAAACCTACAACTTCAGGACACTAAAAGACTTTCTGATGTTCGTTATTACTCAAGCTGTCACTTAGCCAAGATGTTGCATGTAACTAAAAGATTCATTATTTTCCCCTAACATTTTATTACATGAGATGATCCAGGACTATAGAAGTTTTTTCTACAGCTTATTATTTATTAGTATCTGGGTAAGATAAATATTGCTAAATAGTCACCATTTAACCCATTTAAAATTCTAACCAAGGTCTAAGGTTCAAGCATTAATTGGTTAATGTACTGTGAATTTCCACATCAGGTCCATTATGGAATTAGGGGTATTTCAAAGGGGTACAGGAATTCCAATCCAAATACACGAAGATATACCTTATTTAAAGATCTCCAGCAGCATTATTTATAATGGCAAGTAACTGGAAATGATCAAATGCCCAGCAGCAGGCTAAAGATCTTTACCATGCGCCCTACAGCAGTATGTTACACAAACAATACACATACATACCCACGAAGTAATGTAAATACATGTGCTTGCACAGAAAGATGCTCAAGACATTTCCAACTTTTGAATAATTTCATACTTACAGAAAAATAACAAAAATAATAGAAGAAATTCCCACAAACCCTTCACTCAGATTAGCCAAATGCTGCTTTCTACCACATTCGCAGTGTGTTTCCACCCCCCTCAGCCCACCTCACACATTTGAGAGCAAGTCAGAGTTAATGCTCTTTTACTCCTAAATACTTCTGTGTGTACCAAGACACGCTTTAAAGCTTTATTTAAGAGACGAGAGATTGCAAGATAGTCTCTACAGCTGAGTCCATCTTATGTTCCGTCCACCCAAGGCTCTTGCCTGCACTCTTCCCTGGCCCAAATTAGAGATTCTCAAACTAAGGTACAGTAGGCATTTCAGCTGTGTTTGCAAAGAAGTATCTGTAAGGACAGGCTGCCTTGTTTTAAAAAGTACAACTTGGCACCTCCAAGTCTGCCACTGGAAGGAGACATTCCAAAAAGGGAGGCGTAGTTCAACAAACCATTATGTCTTAATCCCTTCCCTTAAAATCTGCTTTCCCCACAGGGTCTCCAGCTGAGCAGTGCTGCTCCTGCTCAGGGAAGCCAGGCTCTCCCTTTAACACTGTGGCCAAAGAGTAAATAATCAGTCTCTCAGAAGCACAGCCAAGTTACGGCTAAAGATCTTAGGTAAGACTTCCTCAAAGAACAAGAGATGGGAAAAAAAAAAAAAAGGCAACAGCAAAAATCTATGCTAACGGCATGAATCTAGTCTGCAGGTCCTTCCCTGTCTAGCTTTCCTTCAGTGGCAGAGACACTGACTTTGGCACGTGCAACCACAGATGTCACTGCTGTCTCCCCTCCTCAGTACCTAGGCTCCTAGAAGAGGCCAACTCAGACACCTCTCAGATCCGGTATCCTGTATACAGACACACCTCCCGGCGGAGCCCTCACCTGCCCGCTGTGCAATATGGCCGTAACACAAGAACCATCCATCTATTCAATTAAAAAAAGTATTAAATACATACTGCACTTGATAATTGCATTAAGCTCTTTACATACTATTATTTCCTCCATTTGAGGAAACTGTAAAATGCGCCATCATTAGCTTGGCAGAGGGGAAAGCTTAGGATACTAAATGTACCATCAGCCGTTGACACATCTCTCACCATAGAAGCTGCAAAATAATACAAAAATCTTAGGGAATTTTGTATAATGCTCCATTTCTCACATCAGTCTCTGTGGTATTACCCCAGTTTTTTTTCAAACCTTTTTTTCAATTGAAGTACAGTTGATTTACCATGTTGTATTAATTTCTACTGTATACCATAATGATTCAGTCATACATATAAATATATACTTTTTCATATTCTTTTTCATTACAGGTCACTACGAGCCATTGAATACAGTTCCCTGTGGTATATGGTAGGGCCTTGTTGTTTAGCTATTCTGTACATAGTAGTTTGTATCTGCCAGTCCCAAACTCCCAGTATTATTCCAGTTTTTAAAATGAGACTAAATTCTAAAGAACTTAAGTTACATGCCCAAGGATACACAATGCTCTCAAGTGACTGAGCCTCACTTCATAATACTGCTACACTACCTTTCCAAAAACCTCACCCTTCAGGCAAGAGACTAATGTATTAGTATTTAAAGGGGGGATATGATCCTAGTTGTCATGTGCATGACCAAAAACATTTTTTTTAGAGATTGGAAGTTTTCCTCATGTTCGTATGAAGAAGCTGTTCAGACTTGAGTGCCCCTTACTACTATGGGGACTTCAGACCAGAAAAGGCAGCAATGCTGGCCTCCGTCTGCATTTCTCTCTCCTGGAATGACACTGTGTAATCCTAAGAAAATGCACGGATACCAAAATAAAATACATTCGTCCGTGTCTTCTAAGCATGACACAGTTTGTTTTAATAAGCTAAAAAGAGCCAGACAGAAGAAATATACCTCACCACTGAGACCTGGAGGCTCTGGCAACACTGTGTGTTAAGTCTCTCAAGTTTCAACAGAACAGCACTTTTCTAACAATGCTATTCTCAAAAAGGCTCAGTTATCACTAACCAGGACTGCAGGGAGCACGAGGGCGGCGTGCTGATGGGGGAAGCCAAAAGATCTTGGATCCCCGTTCTGGCTCCGCTGAGGACTGGCTCTTGCAACGCTGGACAAGATTCAGCTTCTTTGGGGCTACTCCTCGTGGCAATAAAGGGATAGCATTACCAACCCTAACTGCTTCATACGGTGGGCATGAAGGTCAAAGGTGAAACTGTAAGAACTTTCAGGAGGCATCCGGGGCCAACATGATCAAGGCAGTCTTCACTGGTGTGACAGCTTCTAAAGTTTAAAAAAATTAAAAACAAATGCCAGTGCTATTTTTCTTCAAGTATATGTCACCTTTCGGGTTACGGTTCAGTCTGCAGTATCACCTATCCCTGACTAGCTGGGAAGTCACATTCTTCCTGCCCCACCTGGAACCTGTTTCCCTCTCCCATTCAGGTCGGGATAACTCCTACTCAGACTTTGGGTTGCAGTAAATTAAAGACCATCTTTTGGAAAACATTCCTTGATTCCCTCACTCCCAAAACTGTCCAAGCACCTCATGTCACACCACCTCTGCTGCTTCCAGGTTACAGTTCCAGGAGGCAGGGGCCAGCTCTACCTTGCTGAATCCCCAAGCACACAC